GTGAGCCACCGCGCCCAGCCTGATAAGGTTTTAATATCCAGAATATTTAAAGAACTACAACTCAATAATAAAGACAAATGACCCAATTTAAAAATAGGCAAAAAAAAAAATGGACAAAGGATTTGGATAGACATTTATTGAAAGAAGATATACAAATGGCCAATAAGCACAGGAAAACACATCCAAAATTATTAGTCATCAGGGAAATGCAAATCAAAACCACAATGAGATACCACTTCACACCTACCAAGATGGCTAAAGTTTAAAAGATAGACAATAAGGAGTACTGGCCAGGAGATAGAAAAACTAGAACCTTCATACATTGCTTGTGGGGATGTAAAATTGTGCAGCACCTTAGAAAATGGTTTGGCAGTTCCTCAAAAGGTTAAACAAGAATTATCATGTGACCCAGCATTCTACTCCTGAGGATATAACCAAGAGAAATGAAAACATACATTCATACTAAAACTTATACACAGATATTCACAGCATTATTCATATCAGCCAAAAATTGGGGAAAACCCCACATTTATCTATCAACAGATAAATGAATAAACAAAATGTGGTATATCCATTCAATAGAATACATTCAGCAATAAAAAGGAATTAAGTACAGGCAAGGCACGGTGGCTCACGCCTGTAATCCTATCACTCTGGGAGGCCAAGGTAGGAGGATCGCTTGAGCCCAGGAGTTTGAGGTTGCTGTGAGCTAGGCTTATGCCATGGCACTCTAGGCTGGGCAACAGGGTAAGACCCTGTTTCAAAAAAAAAAAAAAAGGAATAAAGTACTGATACATGCTACAACATGGATGAGCTTTAGAAATACTGTGCTAAGTGAAAGAAGTCAGTCACAAAAGACCACTTATTGTATGATTCCATTATGTGAAATAGCTAAATTCATAGAAACAGAAAGTAGGCTGGTTACTACCAGGGGCTGAGGGAAAGGGCAACAAGGAGTGACTATTAATAAGCATGGGATTTCTTGTGCGATGATGAAAACACTTTAAAAGTAGATAGTGGTGGCTGGGCACAGTGGCTCAAGCTTGTAATCCTAGCATTCTGGGAGGCTGAGCTGGGAGGATAGCTTGAGCTCAGGGGTTCGAGATCAGCCTGAGCAAGACCCGTCTCTACTAAAAACAGAAAAAATTAGCCCGGTGTGGTGGTGCACACCTGTAGTCCCAGCTACTGGGGGCAGGTGGGGAGGATCACTTGAGCCCAGGAGTTTAAGGTTGCAGTGAACTGATTACACCACTGCACTCTAGCCAAGGCGACAGAGCAAGACTCTGTCTCAGAAGAAATAAAAAAGTAGATAATGGTGATGGTTGCACCCCTCTACACTAAAGGGGTTAATTTCATGGTAGGTGAATTTATCTCATTTATCTTAAGTTTTTTTTGGTTTTTTTTTGAGACAGAGTCTCACTGTGTTGCCCGGGCTAGAGTGCCGTGGCATCATCCTAGCTCACAGCAACCTCAAACTCCTGGGCTCAAGCAATCCTTCTGCCTCAGCCTCCCGAGTAGCTGGGACTACAGGCATGCGCCACCATGCCCGGCTAATTTTTTTTCTGTGTATTTTTAGTTGTCTGATTAATTTCTTTCTATTTTTAGTAGAGACGGGGGTCTCGCTCTTGCTCAGGCTGGTTTCGAACTCCTGAGCTCAAACAATCCGCCCGCCTCGGCCTCCCAGAGTGCTAGGATTACAGGCGTGAGCCACTGCGCCGGCCCTAATTAAGTTTTTAAAGACGCATATGCATCGCTTTAAAAAACACATTGAGAGACTAAAGTGCATGATTTTTCAATTTTTCTTCTTCAGTGCAATCTCAATTCCAAAAGTCTTCTCTTCCTATACATGCATATTTTGTCCAGTGAACAACACATCCTATCAAAATGAAACCAACTAAATGAAATTCAAATTAATGAAAAAAAACAACTCCTAAAATATTAAATAATTTTCAAACAATTCTATTTTAGCATTAACTCTGGACTAAACATACATCTCAATTTGAAAATATCACATAAAGACTACAGATGCTCAGGTTTAAGCAAATTGTCAACTTTCCTGAATAAACAGTAATTAAGATTTGCTTTGAATGAAAATGTACGTATTTACCTGCCTCAAAGGAACAAACTCCTCTCCATCTAGGGTTCCCAAATGACGAAGAGAAAGAAATATGCATCTTTTTATTCACAATTTTGTTTCAGAATTTTAACCGAGCTGGGGTATATACAGTTGCTGATTTACACTAAGCAACATATATCCTCCTTTTGCCTAGAACATATTGGAAACATGGCATTTTAAACAGCCACAAAAGTTGGGAGCTGAGGAAAATCACTTACTATACAGCAAATCTGACAGAGAAATTAATCTCAAGAAGCTCCTGAAAATGTCTCAAGAACTCCTAGTTTGCACACTCCCTAGTCATTTAGTCTTCCTACGAACATTTACCAATCATCTACCACGTGCCAGGCACCATGCCTTGTACCAGCATGCAACGGTGAGGTGTAAACAGCACAGGTCCCTGCTCACAGGAAGCTTACTCTCTAAAACGGTGCTTGCCAAACTCGCCTGCTCGTAACAACTTCGGAGCTTGTTATAAATTCGAAACCTGCTCCCCTGCCTTGGAGAGCCAGAGTCCGTGGGCTTGGGGAAGGGTGTGAAGCCTGCATTTTTAACAAATGCTCCGGATTGCTCCTAAGCCCTAACTGGTTTGGGAGCCCGAAAAAGAAAACAGCTCTAGAGCCCAGAGCCCAGGGCCATCCATCCCACCCAGCGGAACCCCACCTCCAAAGTCCATTTCGTTCAGCATCCTTCACCCTGACGGACAGCCCAAACACATCACGAAGGCGAGGTAACTGGACAGCTTTACAATGTCTCTGTGGTGAGCCACGGACAGACTTGCCCCCTTCCGGGGACGGAGAGCTCACTTCTTACAAACCCCACCTGGGACTGGCAGCACCTGAGCCTCCCCGGGCTGCGCCAACACCTGTCTCCCCGTGAATGCCGCTCCTGTGGGCTGGGTCCCCAGGGCCCGCCCTAAGGGGTCGGGGGCGATGAGGAGGCGCCTTGCGCTTTAGGCGCCTACTGTATACCACACCCCCACACCCTCGCGCGCGCACGCACACACACACACTCCCGCGGAAACTGAGGCAGGCGGGCAGTGGACCGGGTCCCGCCGCCTGACGGCTCGCAGAGGGGATCGAACCCGGACCGCGAGGCAGGCGCTCCTCAGCCGCTGAGGCCCGGCCCGGCTCGCACCGACGGAGTTTCACAAAGAAAGTCTCCCGGCCCGAGCCCCTCACGCACTCACCGGCGCTGGCGCCGGCGGCGACTCGGGCTCACGCCGCCTGCGGCTCCGTGCCGGAGTGAGCCCTTGGGTCGGCTCGGGAGCCGGCGGCGGCGACTGCTCCATCCCCACGGGGCTCGGGCCGCGTCCGCCTCGAGCTAACGGTCCCGCCAGCTAGGCGCGCGCGCCGAACCCGCGCGCCATGTTCCCGCCGTGCCGCGCGCCGCCGCGGCAAGCTACACTGCCCCCCCAGCGCGCACGCGCGCCCCCGCGATCCACACACGCACCGCGCACGCGCGCAGTCGCCGCGCCCCCTCCCCGTGCGCCCCGCCTTGCGCCCTCTGGAGCTGGCCGCTGTTCCCGGCGTTGCGCCCACCCCCGCCGCACCCGTCCGGCCTGGCTGGAGAGCTCGCCGTTCCTTGTTCAGCGCCACCGCCTGCCGCACTGCGGACCACCCCGGGCCAGACCCCTCGACCCTTTCCCCACACTGCCCCTCTTACTTGGCCCGCAACGCGGGGCCCGGGGAGGGTGAGGGTCCAGGCCAAGGAGAGACTCACCCCCAAGAAGTGCTGGGGAAGGGATGCCGCTAAGCTGGTGAGATCCCCATCGTGGAGATGTGTACGACGTGCGCGAGTGTAGGTGGCACAGTGTATGCCCACGTCCCGGGGAGAGCCAGACTCAATGGAGAATCTCAATTCAAGTTCCGCAGCTCCACTAACCCTTGCATGATTAGAATCAGGTGTTCTAGGACCTGTTTTCTCTACAACCTGAGGACTCGAAATAATCTGCCTCAGCACAGCCTCTAGTACTTAGCAGGTGGTGATCAGAAGACAAGACCTCGTGAAGTAGTTTTAATGGTTAAGAACCAAAGGTTCTCGAGAAAGGAAAATCTCGTTTCACGTCCCACCTCCATCTCTCGAAAACTGGGAAACCCTTGAACAGGTCACTAGACCAAGCCAGAGAGCCTTGATTTCTACATGTGCAAAGGGGGAGAGGGACAGTAGTACTTCACAGGGTTGACGTGAGCTTTCTAGGAGATGCCTGTATAGTCACGCAGGGCTTAACCACGGGATAGTTCTGAGAAATGCCTCAGGCGATTTCGTTGTCGTGCTAACATCATAGAGTGCACTTACACAGAGCTATTAATAGATGGGATAGTCTACTACACACCTATAGTAGATAGGTGTGTAGGTGTGTACCAGGTTATAAGGTATAGCCTATTGCTCCTAGGCTACAAACCGAACAGCATGTTACTGTATTGAATACTGAAGGCAACTGTAATATGATGGTAAGTATTTGTGTATCTAAACATAGGAAAGATACAGTAAAAATACAGTATAAAAAATAGTATGCCTGTATAGGGCACTTACCATGAATGGAGCTTCCAGGACTGGCAGTTGCTCTGGCTGAGTTAACCAGTGAGTGGGGAGAGACTGTGAAGGCCTAGGACACTGAACACTTACACACTAAATTAAAAATTATTTTTCTTTCTTCGCTAATAAATTAACTATAGCTTACTGTCACTTGTTTACCTTATAAACTTTTTAACTTTTGGATTCTTTGATAACAATACTTAATTTAAAACACAAACACCTTTTACAGCTGTACAAAAATATTTTCTTTCTTTATATTCCTATCCTATAAGCTTTTTTCTACTTAAAAAAAGTTTGTTTTACCTTTTTTGAGACAGAGTCTCACTCTTTTGCCTGGGCTAGAGTGCCGTGGTGTCATCCTAGCTCACAGCAACCTCAAACTCCTGGGCTCAAGTGATCCTCCTGCCTCAGCCCCCCTAGTAGCTGGGACTACAGGCACGCGCCACCATGCCCGGCTGATTTTTTTTCTGTGTATTTTTAGTTGTCTGATTAATTTCTTTCTATTTTTAGTAGAGACGGGGTCTCGCTCTTGCTCAGGCTGGTTTCGAACTC